GAAAGAAGCCAATTTTATTCAGTCTGCTTTTATCTTTTGGCTTGTCTTAAATAAATGCATTCACCAACAGTTCTGAAACGGGTCAGATTAAACACTTTGATTATTTGCGTGTGAAATAGTGATGGTGACCACACACAGATCTTTCTTTTACAGCTCATGGAATCAGCCCAACATGAACCACTGGATCAAATCAATACGATTCATGATGTGTTTATGCATAATAAGGAGGTAATGTGCATTTGATAAGGTTTTAATGTATGTTTAATGTTGATTATAAAAAACACAACTTTTCGCTTCTAATAATAGAAGCTTGTTTAGTTTCTCTTGCAAAACGTTGAAATTCACAGGATAAAGACTGCAATGAATTATACTGGAAAAGGACCAATTGAAGTGACTGACATTGAAATGAACGTACTTGTTTATTTTCTTTTATGTGTGTATAAGTATATCTTCTAACACTTTCTTTGTCAACTTATTCTACTAACCCTAAACCTACCCTAACAGTCTACTCTGAGAGTTAGTAGACATGTAGTTGCAAATTAATGAGAATTAGTTGACATGTAGTTACAAAGTTACTTATAGTTATTAGAATGTCTAAAGTGGACTATCGAAATAAAGTGTAACCATATATATATATAGATATAGATATAGATAACTTTCATTAATTTTTTTATTTCAGTTTTCAATTTTTTGTAATTTTAGTACATGAACGTATTTTATTTCAGTTACTTTCCAGCGCAACATTTTTAATTTTCATTTATTTATTTTTTCACTCTAATATTTATATTTTATTTTATTTCAGCTTCATTTCAATTAACAAATGTAATAGTTTTCATTAACATAACAAATAACAACACTGGTAAACTAAATGTTTTGGACTTGAAAAAAATGATTGTGCTAAACACTAAGCATATTCATAAACCATGTGTAGTTCAGTCCGCGGTTTTCTTCTTTCAGTGAGTCATTTTCACTTATTTGAGTCATTTCAAGTTATTTTCACTGCATGAAAGGAACAAACACTGAGGACCTGACAGGGCAGGATGCATTCCGATTTCATTTTACAAGGGCTTTTAAGGCCACCAAGGGAAAAGAGACTGATGCCATTTTACTTCAGGTGCACTTGTTAGCCACAACAGAGCAGTCATTCAACCAAAACAGAAATAATAGCTATGGCAATGTCTCTTTCTTGCTTACGCTACCTTGATTTACCACGAGTGGGCGCCCTAAGCTAACCCATATTGACGTGCACCTCACATTTCACTATCTTTAGATCTATTTTGATGAAATGAAAGCTTCTGTAAGTGAACGAACTTCAAAAATAATGACTGTATTCAAATAGGTTTCTGAAGCACTTCCCCCGTCTTCCATTGTTGAGTCAAACAGGTAGACCCAGAGTTTACCTGGACTTAGAGTCTGATCTGATTGCATCGACAAAGGATTCGGCAGCACAGAGACAGCCATAATCATCTAATAATCTGCAAAAGGTTCAATGACAGTGATATCTAAAATTAGTGATATGGATGTCATGACATAAATATCTGTGCGGTGAGATTTTAGAAGTGTTTATATCTTTCAGTCTGGAAAAAAAGATTAGATTGCAGTCTAGCATATTGTACTAGTGAAATATGCTGATACTGATGGTAAACATTCACAGTATGGGGCAACAGGCATCTTTCCCAGAACCAATGAATGCATAACCGTAACAGAGACCAAAGCTTCAGTCTGCAACACCAAGTGCAAGTCAAACAACTCACATCAAGCCTTAGAGCCCATATAATCAGAAATGTTAGATACACACCTACAGTACTATTAAAGAAAAAAAAATGATTGTCACACAAGAAAAAAGGTGCAAAAGCTGTCACTGGGGCAGTACCTACTCAAAAGGTACATCTTTGTCCCTAAAGGTGCATATTGTTACATTAAAGGAAATTTTAGTAAAAACACGGATGTTTTATTTTCTGTATTTTTTCAATATAATATTTTAGAAATATTTTTATTCTAAATTAATATTTTTCACTTTATTAATTTAATTTAAACACTTTTCCCCTGATACTCATACCGTGGATTCCTTTTTTTCTTATTGTTGTTTCTTCATAGTAGGATTCACGTTGAATTTCTCTCTGTGTGATGAGTTGTTTTCATAAAAGAAAGAAAGAATTTGACAATTTTTATGGGATTATTCCTTTCAGTAGAAAGTAAAGCTCCTTCATTATCAGTATTTGGTGTAAATCTGTTTGGTCTGCACAGCTTGCTAATAGAGTTGCATTCGCAGTGCTGTGTTAACAGCATGTTATCATGGCTGTTTAGAGATAATGATTGTTTTTGGATTCAGCAGACCCCATAATCATGTTGATTTTTCATCCCCAAGGTCTCTCTTGATCCTCTCAAAACAGTTGAGGATAATGTTAGACGTTTACAGTTTTTCTCAGTCGCTTTGGTGCATTTCTCAGAATTCATGCAATTGTTTATGTACATTTGTCTGCGGTTTCCTACATTATCAGTTGCTGTTGTCATGTTGCTCAAAATGTATTAAATAATTCTCTGTGCAACAGTCTTATCCCCCAAAACATCTAGTCACTAGTTCATCGTTTAAGTCATTAAATGCAAAATGGTTGGTCATTGGTTCATCGTATAAGTCATTAAATGCAAAATGGTTGATCTAGTTGTCATAAACTGTCAAGCACATTTTCTACACATTTCTATGAGTCTTTTTGTAAATTTGCCATGAATTGTGAAGGTAAATCTTGACTTTCACTAATGAAGAGAATGTGGATCAACCAATGAAATTCCATACAGTGCTGCATGCAAAAGCAAAGTTCTGCCTAAGGGGTGTTTCCTGTGTTTGCCTGTCTAAATTTGTATTTCTGCCTTTGTGCCCATATTTCTTTTTCTTTTCTATATCACAATGATGTTGTAATGTGTTTTTTTTTTTTTTGTCAGACCACTATAGTACAGTAATAAAAAATGTAGAGAACCATGACGCTGCTCTGCAAACCAGACTAGACAGAATTACTCTGGTAAATTAAAACCAGACTTATAACTTCTCTTCTCATTTTCCAGTCCACATGCAAACAGTCTGGTTAGTGGTTATGTCGTGCTTTTCTGCATTGTTCTGTGTCTTTGATCACATAGAAGCAACTAAAAGAAAGGAAGGAAGCAAGTAAATGTACCTCCGAAGATACAAATATCTTTGAATATGCTCTTTTGCGAAGGGATGGCACACTGAAAGAGATAGCTGCCAACCTAGAGACATTTATCCACACAAAAAGTCTTTAAGCATTTTATTTATATATATATATATATATATATATATATATATGTATATATATATAATTTTATTTTTTTCAAATTTTGAAAACTTTTGTCTTTGTGGTCTATTCATTAAATCAGATCAATGGCTGGTCACTAGAGCGACATGAGGGGCATTCAACCATACTTGACACCTCTGACATTTAACCAGCAGGGGGCTCCATATACACATTAAGACAGACAGACAGACAGACAGACAGACAGACAGATAGATGATAGATAGAT